AACAGTAGCTCATACATCCAAATCGCACAAGGACAAAATTATATTAGATTACAGTTCGATTACTAATTCTTCATCATTTCGTAGGGTATGCAAAATAAGGGGACAACCTATGAATATGTGTTTTGCGAGTAGAGCATAACTACATTGAATTAATGGAAGTCATAATGCGATAACGTTTGAAATAAGTGCAATAGTATTCGAGCAAACCAGACATTTCAGAATCCTGAATAGTTTATGTTATCTAGATAGGTAGCTGATTAGTAAGAAGTACAAGTGTTCTAGTTTCTTTGAAGGAATAAATTTTTCAGTCTTGTCTTCTTCTTCATTAAATAGATAATTGGATTATGTAAAGGGGAAAGAATAAGAAGAAGACTTACAAAAAAATTAACTATCGTTATACGTTCATAGTCATTATTCGTTAGATTTGCTCTATTGATTTCTACGTAAACTTCTTGGATGAATAAAATTACTAGTGGTAAAGCCGATATAAGAAATAAGATCGAAATACAGGTAACCATCTTAATAGTTCGAGCTTTATTTTTTTGTTCTGAATTAGTATAGCTAAAGCGTTTTTTCATTATTATTCCAACTTTACGTAATTTTTTTATAACTCTGAAGTGGCAATATACGATTACAGCACAAGATACTACAAAGCCAATAAAAATGCTATAGCTAGAATACAGCAGTCCTAAATAGCTTTGACCATTTGGTTGCCAAGAATATATACAAACAACTTTAAAATGAGGGTCTGCTATGGTATCGGGTACAAGTGCTGCTGGAAAACAGACTGATAATATCCATATGCTAGCCAACTGGATAATTACCGTTCTAGTTTTATAGAAAGGCTTCGTTGGATGAACGATAATTCTATATCTATCAACCGAGATCATTACCAATGATAAAATATGTAAAGCTAAGCTTGCATTTAACGCAAAGAATAGTACTTTACAAGCAATATTTAAGATTTCGGCAGGCCAGCCTAATGGATAAGTTATATATCCGATGACACAGTAAGCAAAATACGGTATGCAAGAGAGCAAATCGCAAAGAACTAAGTGCAGAAAGAGAATATCCGAAGAAGACTTTATCTTTTCCACTTTCACAACCAAGATAAAAATCATAAAATTGAAGATAAATCCCAACGTAAAAATAAGTAACATTATCACCCCAGTATACCAATAACGATTAAATAAAATAGTAGTCCATTCTGTTGTTGAGTTAAATATTTTTGAATAATTGTTAGTAAGTGTATATGATACTTCCATGATCGGTTATGGTGCTTGGACAAGTTATATTGGAGCCAAAATGTTCACTATATTTAAGAAGAAAAAGTATGAGTAAAATACTGGAAAAGTTTCAAATTTTGACCGTGAAAATACTAGCGACGGATTTCATATGAAATGACGATAATTCAACTTTAAGATATCAATTATGTTAGATGCTGCTTAATTCCAACAATACATTTTCTCAGAATCTGTTAAAGTAGATATATAACAGTATAATAGAAGCAATTTATTAGTTATAAATAGCTCTATTGATCAATCTACTATTATTTGTAATCTGTACAGCTATGACATTCACTGATGTTAGTTCAATCAAATAAAAAAATTGATAAATTTCACTAATACCTTGTACAATCAGATTTTTTAATAGTCAATCATCTTCCGTCAAGGAATAAAGGATTATGATTGCTTTTTAGTAACTCGGAAACATTTAATTATAAATAATTCATTATTTTGCATTGTAGATACTTAATTATGAATACAATATTGATTTGCATATAAAAATATTTCTTGTATTTATTCTGTATTTAATATGGCATTGCGTGTCGTTATCGCTTACTTCAAGTAAGATAGTTTAGATTATAAAAGAATCTGTCTACAGATAGACTTAACTATATTTTGAGTCGAGTTAATTGATTTGTAAAATGATAGTCTCGGTAAACATGCCCTAGCATGAGTGCATTGATTCACATAAAACGCTATCTATTTCGTCGTAAGTAACAGAGCTGCCAGTCTCAAGAGGTTTTCATAATTATGGTTTACCTGGAGTTTAATACTACTGCGATCTACGGCATAATTTAATTGATTGAAGTAAATTCCTATTCTATTAAGTGGTGTAAAAGAGCTAAGGAGTGAGAATGAACACAACAATGCTAGCTTACGTTTCAAACGTCTAGCTCGTAGAATTTTGTAAGCTTGTAATTAATGCATTATGTAGAGAACTGAATTATGTAGGAGAGATGTCTATACAATATGGTATAAAAGATTATTTGGCAGCTACATTATCAGCCTATGCAGGGCCAATTTATTAATATTATTTTCAAGGTCCATCATATCGGAAATGAAATTAGCCTTTGTTACTGTGTTACCTTACCGTTAGGATTGTTTAATAAGTACAGTAGTAGCTAATTTGGAAAATATTCGTATTTGTAAAGCTAGGTAAGAAAAGTAATGCCTTAACGTGGATATTATTTGTGATAATTTATTATATATTTGATATTGATTGTTATTATACGTAGCTAGTAGTAAGATGATTCAAATTCTAGCTTTTGATAGTTGAATTAGACAACATACATGCTTAGATTAAGATTAAATATGAGTAAGAGATCAAAAATATTTACTGATAGAAAAGCTATGTAAGGGACATCCCAGTCAGAGATATCTCTCCTAGTAAGTAAAGTATAATAATAATATTGTTGCTTTTTACAAATTAGACGATTTCTATACAAACGGAAACATTTGGGTTGAGTTGTGTGGTAAAAAATTATAGAATGTCTATGCCAACAACAGTTCTATCTTCACGGTACTACTGTGTGTGTGTTTAATGTTTAGAAAAAGGGGGGTTAAAGTCAGTAGTTACTTGTAGACTTTTACTGCAAGTTTCTTTGTCGCAGAGTTGAAATCGTGACAGTCTTCAACCTTTTCATGTAACTCTTAAAGAACTTTCCTGTTTTTCAAAAACTGGTCTCATACTCCAGAAAATTTTACCGTATAAATAACAATATAACGAAAGCAGAAATTATGTTACTAAATAAAGTAAATATCAATAATGAGTAAATAGTGCTTTAAAATAATATCAACGCTGATGAAGCCAGCAAGGATAACTCAGAGTGTATACCAATAAAAATTGAAATAATACTTAAGTATCTGAAGCTACTTCCCCTTGCTTCTTTTAGTACTATGAATAATTACCGACAAAAGTGTTTAACAAAGCTTACCTGGTACTTAAATTAATGTACTGCATTTTACAATTACAGCTATGACAAGCAAATATGATTACTACCATTAAACTTTGTTATAGCCTAACCCTAACCCTTACTCATAATTATTCCATGATGCAACTGTTTAACAATCTCAATCATTGTTAAATGATTATTTGGAAAAGGTATAATGAAACAATAACGCTGGTCTCAGAAATAGAATGTCAAAAATAATAGTAGAAATTTGAAATTTTTATGTCAAAATCATGTTAATGTTTCATAAAGCATTTCAGAAAATTCTAACTGTCAACGTATCGCACCAATAATAATATTATGATTCAGCAATATACTACGTAATACCAGATGAAAAGAATGAAGTTCTTGAATACCTTTCTGTCACAAAAGTAATCTTCGTGGCATATACTTTATTTCTATCTTACGTTCTAATAATCTTTATATCTCAGAAATGTTTACGGTCTCCCTAATTGTAATTTTAGTGGTTAACAGTTGATATACTTAATTTAGGATTACATGACTAAAATAGTAATAGCAAACCAGTTAAACTGGATTATATTTATCACTTCCAAGGTTGTTAAGGTTCAAAGTACAATTCCTAAGTTTAGAGGAAATGTCTTGCGGCATCTATTCTTCTTGACTAAGTAGTAATAATAAAGAAAAATTTGTACTAGATGAATTCCAAAAAGAACAGAATTACTAAATTACTGAAATATGCACCTTTTATTTGCTAGGCAGAGCAGTAGGTGTTATCAGATTACTATCTTACCATTTTAAAGTAATCTAAATTAAACTACTAATTAAACACATGACAAGAAAATTTATAGCTTAGACTTTCCAATGACTAAATGAATAATAATTAATCGTAATTTTACCGTAAAAAGTATTTTCTATAATTTACAAAATGTAAGCATAATAAAACAATTATTTCAGCCATTAGTCTACTATTTGCTAGCTATTAATAACCATTAGTCATTGTATCTGTACTTTTTAAGTGTAAAAGTAGAACGCTTTACGGACAATATTCTGATCTTGTAATTACATAACTCTTTTGTTTCTTTCCCATCTAATTTTTATTCCCTTCCGCCTAGGAAGAAAGCTTTATAATTGTTTATTGGGACACAAATAAAGTCTGACTATAAATTTTTTCTTTGTAGATAATTCTAAACAGCAATGATATTAATTTTGGTGATATATATTTCTTCAATTTATAACTATTATGACCTTGCAAGTCATTGCCTTGACTCTCAAATAGAGCAGTTTTAATTGCACAAAATCCTACCTAATATACTGCAATAAACAATTCATACTCTATACGTTAAATCTATCTCTATATATGTTACCATTACCCTATGAGCAAAATATTGTTCTTATTGAAGTAGTTGCACTTCCAACAAATCTTTGCCAAATGGCTTACAATTCTGATCTAAGTAAAATCAACTCACACAATTGTAAATTGTTCAAAGGATATATTACAAAAATCAAGAATAACTTGACTTATATCCGAATGAATATTGTTAGATAAACCAAGTTTATGCAATGAAAGGAAATTTAATAAGAAATACTAATTCGTTTGTAATACTTTGAACAAAAATTTATCACAATCTATTTCTATAAACTTAGGTACCTGATTTTTATTACAGTTAGCAATATTTGTTTATTATACTTTAGATCTAAGAAACCGCAAACTGTACTCATCTCTTCATTTATTTTGGCATTGGATTTGTTTGAACTAGAAAGCTATCGTATTGTAACAAAGGGATTTTTAACTTAATTTATTTTGCTATCCATAATCTGCAACTACTTTGTGACGTTCAAGAAACAATTCTACATCACATGTAGTAACGCTTTAATAAATATTACTCAAGTATTACACTTTCAAAATACATTACTACTATAGTTTGATGAAGTCACCAAAAGTACTTTCCCATGAATCTTTAAGAAACTTTCATACTTTCGAACGGTTTTCAATCTATCCTAAGACGTTGAACAGTTGCAGCTAACTACTATGAAATGGTACGATTAATTAAGCTAGTAAATTTTCTATTCTATACGAAGCAATACATTAAAAGAAAATTTTAGCCGTCCACAGAATCCTGATGAAAATTTTTAGCGAGTTTATTATCAAAAGTATTTCTTAAGTGTTGAAAAATGGATGTATGAAATAAAGTTAGACGTGATTTTACTATATTGTTCATACATATTTCCAGTTTGACTACCGAATTAGTTCTTGTACTGAATTCATGTGGGTAAATGCCATCCTTTCTAAGAAGCTGATCAGCAAAAGCATCTGTTTGTGCTTATGGTGCATGAAGTTTACTGCCACACACCTCCACTACTATTTAAACAGTTTCTAAAGCCAATGACAAATAGTTGTGCAGTATCATTGATTGCATTACCGTCTAAACGCCGATTCCAATTATTCTCATCAACTAAAAACAGAAAAGCAGTTCACCTTTTCAGATCTGCAGGAAAAGATAGTGAAACTTCAGCAAAAAAATCGTCAAATCACCTGGCTCAACGAAGGCTTTAACTACAACATCAGAAAAGACCACGTAGGCAACTCCAAGAAGACTATTGGTAAAATTGACAAATTCTACCCTCATTGTAGAGCGAATAAGTTTCCCGGAGAAGCAGAGGGTCCTTGCTGAAAAGGATTCAAAGTTAAGTTCGAACCTCTCCTCTAACCTTCTGATATTTTGAAGACTCTCCTCAAAACGATTTGTCAGATGCAAAGCATTTCTGAGAGAGTACGTGAAAGTACAACTTGGCCTCTATCTTCACGAGCTTTGGGTCCGACAAGAATCTCAACGATCTCAGATTCTTCACCGCCTTCAAAGCTCAAGAAGTACACCCTGAATAACACAGTCAAGCAGATCATTCTCGATCTTCAGGAGACGCTGTACTCCAGCAATACATAGGTGAAAAGCTTCAATTCTGTGCTGGAGAATATGGATTCGCCCAAACATTTAATTGTATTTGCAGCTGATAAAAAACATATAACGAAAATCGCCGACTCTTTAATGCTCCAAAGACAAACGGGTCTGCTTTAATCAGAGTTGGATATGCGAACGGCACGCGCGACATCCTCTTGAAGCAGCGAGACGGCCGACTCAACAGGATTAAGGAGACCTGAACGAGGCCCGATGCGAAATTGGGCATTTTGCTAAATGACCTTACGGCATGACAGTTTTTTTATGTATTATATAATTCAATAAAACAACAGCTGATCATAAGTAAAACTGTTCTTGTTATTCGGTGGATTACATAGCCAATAAAATGGTACGTATGATATAATTGAATCACCAAGTGTGCATTTTATGGTATGTCTAGGTGTATACCAGAAAAATCATATTCCAGCATTTGAAATTACTCAAATTTATTGCAATTTAATATTCAACATAATAAATTACATATGGAAATTTCTATTTTCAGTTAGTGAACATGAAACGTTTTTTACAAAAAATAAGGTACGCTACGAAGCTACTTTAAAATTTTAGCGATAATGCTAGGCTACGCGTGTTGCATAATGTTAAGATTGACCTTAACATATAAATGCCATATAGATATTTTCATGTCTAGTAATATATTCAAACCTTTGATGTAGAAACACACGGCTGCAATAGTTTTTAACTGCTTAGTTATAAATAATCCGATAACTAATTCATTATTAATTTAAGTACACAACACAATTGTAAATGTTCTCAGTAAGACCTAAAGAGAACTAATATCATCTATGTAATTTACGTTTTTCAACCTTATGTATTATTTAAAATTAGTTTATTTCGTGTCTAAAATATACGCTATAATGACATTAGCTCATTTGCTTAATTCGTACGTAGAAAAAATTATTTATTTTACAGTTTAATTACTAATCTGTCACCATTTCGTATGGTTTCAAAATATGTCAACAATCTTTGAATAAGTGCCTAGTGAGTAGAGCATAATCCTATAGAATTAATAGAAGTCATAATAGGATGACGTTTGCAGTAACTGTATCAGTATTTGAATTAATCAGATATATCAGAATCCGGTATACTTTACGTTATTTAGATAGGTAGCTTAACAGTAAGTAAATACAAGCGTCTTATTTTCTTCGAAGGAATAGATATTTCGGACTTTTCTTCTTCATTAGATAGATAACTGGATTATGTAAAGGAGCAAGAAGAAGAAGAACGGTTACAAAAAAATTGAAAACCGCTATACGTTCGTAATCGTGATTCGTTAGGTTTGCTCTATTAATCTCTATGTAAACTTGTTGAGTGAATAACATAATTAATGATAACGCCAAAATAAGAAATAAGATCGAAATACAAGTAACCATCTTAATAGCTCGTGCTTTATCTTTCTGTTCTGAATAAGTATGTCCGAAGCGTTTTTTTATTATCACTCCAACTTTATGTAATTTTTTTATAACTCTGAAGTGGCAATATACGATTACAGAACCAGATACTACAAAACCAATAAAAATATAATAGCTGGAAAACAGTAGTCCTAAATAACTTCGACCATTTGGTAGCTCAGAATATATACAAACAACTTTAAAATGAGGGTCTGCTATCGTATCCTGTACAAACACTGCTGGAAAACTGACCGATAATATCCATATGCTAACCAATTGGATGACTATCGTTCTAGTTTTGTACGAAGGCTTGGTTATATGAATAATTATTCTATATCTATCAATTGAGATCAACACCAACGATAAAATATGTAAAGTAAAGCTTACGGTTATTGCAAAATATAGTACTTTACAAGCAGGATTTAAAATTGCTGCGGGCCAGCCTAAAGGATAAGTTGCATATACGATGATGCAGTAAGCAAAATACGGTATGCAACAGAGCAAATCGCACAGTACTAAGTGCGAGAAGAGAATATCCGAAGAAGACTTTATCTTTTCCACTTTTACAATCAAAATAAAAATTATTAAATTGAAGATGAATCCTAACGTGAAAATAATTAACATTATTAAGCCAGTATACCAATAACGATTGAATAAAAAGGTATTCCATTCTGTATTTGAGTTAAATGATTTCGAATGATTGTTACTAAAGGTATATGAATTTTCCATGATCGGCTATGGTGATTTTATAGGATTTAGTGACGCCAAAGCCTTAACTATAATTTATAAGAGAGCCTATGAATGAACAATGAAACAAATTTTGGATCTTCAGCGTTATAATACTATGGAAACATTTCATATAAAATAGTGATATGTATACTTGAAGATATGAATTATACTTGACGTTGCTCAAATCTGATATTTCGATTTCTAGAAATTTATTAAAGTAGATTTAAAACAGTATATTAAAAATAAATTATCAGTCTTTAGCTTTCAATTTATTCGCTAGTTTCATCTGTCAATTCATTAGTGTTCGTAATCTGCACTGCTATGACAATCACAGGCGTTAGCTCAATCAATTAATAATAAATCTCTTTAATACGGTATCTATCTCTATTTAATAATGGTCTACTACCTTCTACCAAGGAATGAAAGGTATACAATTACTTAAAGGAAAATACTAAATTTACCGATTATAAAATTCATTATTTTGTACAATAATTGGCTAAAAAATACCTTTTAACAAGTAGAATTTAGAGGAAAATCTATTAGAATTTGAGTATCATACTAACTTTCTTGTTGGCAATAGCAAAATTAATTCAAAACGAATTGAACGCTTCATAAAACAAATCGGAAAATTCTAACTGGCAGACCTATTATACCAATAATAATATTACCAGTCAGTTATAATCTATACACTAAAAAATAAAAAGAACAAAATTCTCATATACATTTCATTAGATATAAGAAAGAGAGAATATAGAAAAACTTACATTAAAGCTGTAAAGTTACTGCATGCATATATATTAGTAGTAGAAAGATGACACTAATTTGCTAACGGTATCGATCGGAGTACTGACTAAGGTATCTAAGTAACTGTAATACATCATGCTCTAAGTACGCATACTTGCATCAGCTTAACGATGCTATTAACGCTCTGATAAAATGAAAACTCGCAAATAATTATAAAACTTTGTCACTATAGTTATAAAAGACAGTAACTAATCGGCATTTTTCTGAGTTTAACAATCAGTTATTAAGATTTGAAATTCAAGTACTACGTGAATTTCAGGTAACCACAGTAAATTCCACGAAATGTATCGTAATTAACTTGATTCATTAATGCACTCTTCTTCGTAAGATTCTAGTGGTATCTATTTTTCTTGACTTAGAAGATAGTATAACCGTTCAGTATATTTGATGTATTGCACGAGAACTAATTCATCCGCGAATGCGGGAAATTCTCGAGGTACTCCGACTAATGTACTAATTCGACCACTTCTACACAAATAATCAATACCTGGCCGATATCTATTAGTCCTAGGTTACTCTTTATTTGAGACCAGGTAATGATCCAAAACGACGTTAAATATTATCAGACCTTGCGGTCTAACTGAGACAATATAGATCATGAAGGATCTCACTACTGAACGTAACTAAATCAAACGGCGCACACGAATGTAGTTAGACTTCTCAAGCGATTATAATTATTTATGATGGACGATAACTGTCAACTACTAACTGAAACCCTAATGAGTTGACTGACTAGAGTCGAATCAGTATTCGATAGTAGATATCGATATATACGCGTAAATAAAATTACACTTTATTTCTTTTAGAAAATATTAATTGTATTGGGTGTCTTTTAAATTTGGTACTTCTTTTGCTTGGAAATTACTAAAGTAAAAACAAAACAGAATTATAAAGGGAATTAATTCGGTCTTCAATCTACTAATTACCAGTTATTAAATTCTATCAATCAATATATTAGCGCTTTTTAACTGTTAATACAGGAAAATTACTGACAATAGCCTAATCTTGTAATAATGGAACTCTTTGATTTCATCTTTACCCTATTCGTTATTACCTTCCGCCTAGAAAATAAGCTTTATACAGTAATTGTTTGCCGGGAACACATATAAGTCTGACTATAAATTATTGTTTCTTTGCTTTGCTGATAATTCTTGATTGTAATATTATAAGCCTAATTTAAACTTATTCTATTTATACCTAATATGATCTTTTAAGTCATTGTCTTTAATTTACAAAAAACAGTTTTAATTGCTCTAAAATCTACCTAATATGCTGTATTAAGCAATTCGTACTCCATACATTAAATTTACCATATACATACGTACAGTATAAATAAGCTATTACTTCTTATGGCTTAAATATTCATGAATAGTAATAGTCCCACACCTGCCATCTTATATAAATGTATATAACGTAATAATTTAATACGTAGTAAGGTAGCTTAATTAATATTTAATTTATTTGTTATTATATTCTGTAAACAAAATATTATCGTTACAGACGTAGTTGCATTTCCGATGAATCTTTGCAAAATGGCTCAATACTCTGATCGAAATTAAATCACGTCACACATATATTAGCTATTAAAAGAGCTTACTATAAATTAGGCATAACTTGACTTAAATTAGAGCAGGTATTGTTAGATAAGCCAAAAGTTATATTGAGCGAAATTTAAAAAGAAATACTAGTTATTGCTTAATGCCTTAAACAAACTTTATTAAAATTTTTATATAAGGATAGGCGTATGATTCCGATTAATGTTAGAAATACCTATTTATCATATTATACATTCAAAAATTACTCACCATAAGCTTCTATTGAATCTTTCTGGCATTAGATTATTGTAAAATAAAATGCTATCGCATTGTAATAAATAGGTTTTTAATCTATTTTATCATTTCATTCATCATCTACGATTACTTTATGAAGTACAAGAAAATATTCCATGTCACATGTAGAAAGGCTTTACTAAATATTACTATTGAACTTTCAAAACACATTGCTACTGTAGTTTATTGTATTTGCTACATGTACTTTCCAATTTTCCTTTAAAGCATTGTAAATTAATGCAGTATTGTGATTGTAGACTATATGCCATGTTTAGTATGATGTGCTTTAGTGTCTATTCTATATTTATCATGTGATATATTTAGTAGCCCATAATTATAGACTGTAATGATAGACTCTATACTAGAGTATAGATGAGTATATACAGTGAGATGTTGAGCTACTAGTAAGGTTAGAAGTAGAAATAGAATTGTAAATCATGCATTAAAATAGGCTAAAT